AGGGTGCCCTCGCCCCGCCGTGCGCCCCTTCCCTGCGCGGGTCGGCAGCCCAGAGCGGGGTTAAATGGGCGCGGTCGCTCAAGGTGCCTGTTGTCTTCCCTTTTGCAGGCTGACTCGGTATATTGTGTTGCTGTGCTTCACCAAGCTTTTAAAGGCCTTGGGGCTGTTTGAAGCTTATGATCTTCTGAAAGTGGTCCACCTTGTACAGTTTATCTTTGTAGTAAAGCTGGGGTGAGTGCGCTTATGGCGAAGCCGTGTATGCTCCACTTGCAGCCTCTTTTGTCTGTGTAATTTTTTGTCTGTGTCAAACGTATACTTTGCATTATATTTTGTTTAGATTAGTTGGGGAGGAAAAGGCGTGGTGGTGGATTCATTAAATGTTCTGATCCCAGTGTTTTTGCTTCTTACGCGTGCTCGCTATAATTTCAGAAACTTCAAAGTCTGTGCTATTTTGAGTAGATGATGCAGTGGCAGTTCTGAGCACAGGAAGCTCAGCTGTGTCCAAATTTTCTTATGAAAATTATAGAAGACAAGTTTTCTTCTTTATCATTTACATTTCTGTAGTTCCTGTGAGCTTCAACTGCCATCTTTCCCTGATTGGCAACTAAAGTGTAGAAACTAATATCAGGTATTACAACATCAGCGTTTGCCAGCAGGCAGACACAGTCGTGCTTCACGTTCAGCTGATGCATTGTGGAAGGCGTTTCTGTAATAAACTTGGCAGAGTTGTCTATCACATTCTTCCCATTCATTTAAATTTTTGTTTACATTTCTAGGCTTCTCACTTGAGTGTTCCTAAACACCATAGCTTTTTCTCCCTTTCACTTGTCCTTGGTCATAGTTGAGAAAGGAACATGTTCTTTCATGCCATTTCTAGCAAGACTGTGTATTCAGTGTTCCGTATATGGAGAAGCTTTAGGGTATATCTATCTCGCCAGTTAAAATGTAGTATTAGTATTGTAACCGCGTTTCTCCTCAGGACTTTTCTATCTGAGGAGATCAGTTATTTTGGTCTTTGTAAATCATGCAAAAAACTCTGACTGGCTATTTTCTGAAGAATTTCTGTGTAAAATTGACCAGAACTGAAATTCACCTACGTGAACTTTTTAATTGATACTTGATATAAGTAAAGTAGTAGGGAGAATACAAATAGTGAGTGTGATCAGTGTTGTCTTTTAGTGGAAAACATAGAGGTAGCTGTTTTGTAAATTGAACCTGATGTGAGAAGGGAAGGACTTAGTTACTTAGAGCTGATCTGAATAAAAAGCTGTTTGCTAACATACTAACAGAGAAAATCTTCTCCTTTTAACAGGTCTGCATTTTTTATGGTTTTGTTTCAAAAACCATTTTCTTCTGGAAAAGTGGTAACGAAGCGTCAAGTGAGTTGACATATATGTAATAGTCATTCACATCTTTGTGGATGTTCTTGATGACATGGCTCTTACCAGAAATTGCTCAGAAAGTGGGGGAAAAGGTTAATCCCTTTGGAAAACATGGCTGCAATTTCCAGAAGTGTTTAACTAATTATGCTGTAAAAAATGATCTGCGTTTTTAGGTTTGTCAGCTGTCATGCAAATAGTTGACAGTGTGGTGAAAAGGTTGGTCTCTGATTCCCCACAAGCATCTGTTTTGAGAATAGGATTTCGAAAAGGAGCTTTTTCTGTCTATGCAACAATTCCAAAATGGCAAATTCTGGACTGTCAGAATGCAGAAGTGCTCCAGTTGTGCCTCCTTCATGAGAAACTTCTTTTGCATGCTGCGTTGTATTGAGGGCCCAGCCTAATTGATCTTCAGACCTGTGTTGAGATTCCAGTCTGCAGAGAAGTCAGACTTGGGCTTGAATGGGACCCTGCTATTTGAAAGAAATAACCTTTCTCTTCTTTCACCTGTTCCCTGTTTATCGTGTTTATGTGCAATTGTGTGCACAAAAACTTTATACGTACACTGATAAGAGCAACCATTGTGCATGCTAAGTAGGGAGAATCTGAAGGACGGCCTCGGAACGTTCCCAGTGTTAGCTGCTTGTATGTTTGATGTTTTGGCAGAGCTTTAAAGTGTGAATGGAAATAAATCGCATCTTTGATTTGAATTCAGAAAAATATGTCTGTTTAGGCTTTTGGTTTTGCTAGAAAGTTTTAAATTCTAGATTTTGAAGGTGTGATATTTCTTGTAGGCACCTTGTCGTCTTAAATGTATTTCCAAAGGTTAACTCTTCAAAAACTTGCATTTAAAGTTTGCCATGTATTGAATAGTCCCAGTTCTATTACAAATTACTTCCTGAGGAAAGAATTAAACACACGCATAAATATTTGGAGATTTAAGGTCTTAGTCTCTTTGTCTTGGATGTTTTAGCTAGCATTGTGCGTATTTATCAGCTACATACAATATATTACAAAATAAACAGTTTGTCGTAGAGACTGAAGAACTGTGATCATTTGCCTGTCTAAAAGGCTGGGGGTTGTTTGTGTTTTTTTTTTTTTAAAGAGATCCCAAACCATACTATAGAGCCTAGTGCATAGAACCTGATAGGAAAGAAGAAGAAAAAACTCTGATTTTTATTTTGTCCAAACAAACTTAACCTACTTGGCAAAGTAGGCAAGAGGGGGATAATCGTGCTCAAAATGCTGCAGACTTTGCAGGGCATGTTTTCCTCTCCAGTTCAGGAGCCACTGTTCTAAAAGAATGTTAACAACAGGATGTTTATTTTGAAACTGGAGAAAACGTTAATGAAATATCTTTCTCTTGCAGTGGATCAAAATTTTTAAGCATGCCGTTGTGGGATGTATCATTTCACTCTTGTGGTTTTTTGGCCTTACTCTTTGTGGACCACTAAGGTAAATGTGTATGGTAAATAATGCTTTATCTTTTTAAGCTAATTTTTGTGACCTGTCCCTGTGTTGCCTGTTGTTTTTCATTTTGTATCTGTCAGCCCGTGATGCCAGCCACTTGCTTGCGTTTTTGAATTTTAAAATGGCCTTTGTGCTTTTTCCTGTGAATGCTGTTCTACTTGGAAAGAACTACATAGAAAGATCTTATTATTCTCCTCATCCTTTCTTTGCCAAGATGCCAGTGACGTTCTTGATAGTGCTTAAATTATTGATATGACTGATTCAATAAGATTACTGCCTAATGTGCTGACTGTGGTTTTCATTGTTTCCCTAGTCTCATCTCTATAGTCACACTTGTTTACTTAACTGTTTGAAATCCGTGAGTTGGCAGCTAGTGATAGCAGTGTGCATTACTGTGTCAGGTGACTAGAATTCATTTCCTCATTTGTTGCAGGACCTTGTTTTGGTCTCTGATCTTTTGCCTCTGCTGTGTTGCAATTGAGTAGCATTTGTGCAAATACTCCAAGTAAAATCACTTGTGGTATTTGTTAGCAAGGCTGACTGAATTTTATCATAACAACAAAAGAATAATGATAGAGTAGCAAAAACGAAGGTTAACAGTTTAGAAAAGTGAGAGAATGTAAGTAGAGCCTTAAATGATGCGTTTTTTCAAATCAAAACTTTATCTTTGGCACAGGAGAAGGCATACCTAAGTATAAGAAGACTTCTTTAAGAAGTGCTGTAGTATCTTTCTGACTGCTGGTAGTCTCACAAACAGAACCTGTGACACAGTCCCTAGTAGGCTTGTATTGCTATAGTGAAGAGAATGGCAGAAGCGTTTAGTAAACTTGACAGAGATTGTTACTTCTGTGTTCTGCTCTGGAAAGCTGTCAATACAGCTTGTCGGTTGGTCATTGCTACCTGGAGGAGACAGCATGCAAGTCAGAAATTCACAGTTTTAGCCATTAGGAGGTTCTGAGGGTGCATAAACTACTGGACCATCAACACCTCAATAGGCAGAATGTAATGTGGCAGAACAGGGCTTCTTTTCTGGGGGAGCCAGAAAGTAGAAACTTTGGTTTACAGGTGGTATTGTCATGGGAATATTAATTTCACCTTGAGAAAGTTGTTATCTTGTGGTACATAAAGAGATTACAATTTAAAGTAATCCATAAATGAGTAACTGTAATCTGTTACTTGAGCCTAGGGCATTCTCTTTGTGACGTGTCTGGCTGTCACCAGCAAGATCTATTTCTGTTGGAAGCTTTGGATTTGCAGTTATTCTTTCAAATATTTTAAACTTCCTGTAGAAAATGCAAGTTAAATCTCTGATTTCCATTTCACTGAATTTTAGGTAAAATAATATATATTAAGTTTGTGCAGCAACATCCTTGTAAATGGGCATAAGTGCTTATGTCTATCTTTTCTTTTCTTTTTTTTTTTTTAATAGGACGTTGTTGCTGTTTGAGCACAGTGATGTGGTTGTGCTATCACTCCTTAGTGTTCTGTTCACAAGCTCAGGTGGAGGACCAGCAAAGGTAAATATATATACTGACATAAGTAAAAGCTGTTGTATGCTATAAGTACAAGTATCTTTACCCAGAACAAACAGTATTTCAGACCTACATTTATAAAAACTGCAATTTTTAGTTTAGGAAGTGATGAAGTTACAAGATGTACTATTTGAAATAAGAAAGATGGCATACTCTGAGGGAGAAGGAGTAGGTGAAGCTGTTTAAGATCCATGACAGACATGTGAGAAGGGTTTTTTTGTTTGTAGGCAGAAAAAAACCTTGAATGTGGGTGTTCTTGTTCTTTGGGGGGGTTTTTTGTGCTTCAGCATTCTTTGTACAGGGATTTTGGGTTCAAGTTGACAGAAGGATGTACGTACCTGAAGTGGTCTTGGCCTTGAGGCACTAAAGTCCAGGACTGAAGCCTCCAGATTCTTGCCTAGACTCTTCAGTGTTCTGTGGCTTTCCACATACATACACTTTTTTTTTCTGCCAGAGAGTTCTCTGATTAAGTTCTGCCTGAGCCTGTCTCTGCTGAATTCTTGGCCCAAATCTTGCACTTAATCAGAGATCTATATATGAGGCATCCTTTACCTGAGTCCCATTACATGTTCAGTTTTATAGATATTCTCTAATTCTGCCTAATGAGCCCTAAAGGTAGTGAGCTCATCCCAGCACCTAGGAGCCATGGCCACTTTCACTCAAAAATAGTAATAGTTGAAGGAAGCTACCTTAAGATATCATATACCAGAGACTAGAGTATTGCTGTGTAAGAGGCAGTCTATCTTTGGTGCTGCCCCAGGTTTTTTGAAAATCTCTGTATTGTAGCTTCTGTTGGAATGCCCTAACCACTTGTAAACTGGACTTAGAACAAAGTGAGTGGCAAAATCCTCCACTCTTTCTGATGCTCTAACAAAAAAAAATGTTCAGGGCCTCCCACATAAAACTATGTAGAAGATATCTATTTCCAACCAGATGCTCAAACAATAAATGTAGGACTTTGAAGAGGTTCTTTGTCAATCTGTATCTTAGCAGCTTACACTTGCTAGCTAAGCTGCACATCTAGTAAGGCCAAAAGGAGGGAATGATAACCGTACCTTCTGAATGTTTAAGCTTTGTGAAGTCATCTAAAAGCTAAAGGGAGGTCAGCTGACTTTCTGAAACAAGAGTGTGGTAGCTGTATTCGACTTCAGATAAATTATCGCAACTATAGTTTTTAGCTGTAGATCTCAGCGTTTTGTGAAGATGGTAAATATGAAAATTGTGATATTCTAAGTCAGAGTGGTGAAAGCACAGGGAGCTGGGCTCCCTCTTCCTTTCCTGCAGGACAGCACTGAAGAACTCTGCTTCCTCGGAGCATTTGCACAGTGCTCTAGCCATTGCCTCCCATTGGACAAAATTTGACACTTGCGCCACTCTTAAGCTGAGACTTGTTTATAGCCCCTTGATACCACCAAGTATTAAACCATCAGGCTGAAGCAGCTATCTGTGTGTTCTGGCAGAGGTACACCATGAAGAAGGAAACTCCTTAACACACAGGAGACTTCATAACATACAGTCTCCTAACTCGTTGCAGTGGTGGTTTGCCCCAACTTACCTGGCAAATCTGAAAACTTTAAATTAGTATAAAATCATATTGTCAAGGTCACTTTTTCCAGAAATGTTTTTTTCTTTTGTTTCTCTTATTCAACCGAAACATGCTTACCTTGATCAGGAAGGAGGGAACTCTCTTCCTGGAATCTTTAACGCTGATCAATTACAGCATGCCATCAAAATGTTTTGTTTTTTCCAGACAAGAGGGGCTGCTTTTTTCATCATAGCTGTCATCTGCTTATTGCTTTTTGATAATGATGATCTCATGGCTAAAATAGCAGAACATCGTATCCTTTCTTGTTATGTGTGGGGAGAATAAAAATCTTAAATGACAACATCTGTCAAAAGTGTTGTGTTTATGAGTACAGGAGCAGGGAGAACAGAATGCTAAGTTGAATGCACGGAGTTAAATATGCATATATTTTCCTTGAGAGGAATCCTCACTTGCAAGACTGCTACACCGTAAGATTTTACTCCTATATCTAAAAACTCCTGATATTTATAGCCAATTGAATGGCACTGGTTACTTTCGTGATAAAATCTATAACTGTGTTCTAAGTTAAGTGGTAGTTATAGAACCCTTCCCTGTTTGCTCATATCAGACCACTTAGGATCGCTAGAAGCGTTCTTGGTCAGCTTTCTTCTTGGAGAAATTCTAGAAATAATGACTATTGCCTAATGTCTTCAGTAAATGGTTAGCTGGTCTGGCTGGCAATCTTTCTGGTATATCCAGAAAGATAGTTTTGTGCTCTTATTAATATGGTAGTTGTCTCAGTTCAGCCGCTAGTCTGAAAAGTGATGTGAAATAGCCTGCAATAGCTTCAGCAACAATGGAGTCTGAACTGCAAATGGAAGCTGACTAACTTGCTTCTTAAGCCAATGAGTAAACTGGAAGTTGTTCAGAAGTAACTTTCCAAAAGGTCTTCTCATAGTTAGGTATATTGGAAAAAAAGTGGTGCATCTAAGGATGAACAGTAACACCAAAGCCCATAGCTGATAGCAAGGTGAAGGTAAACTTCTCAAGGATGAAAAGAGCATGGAATTGCAGATGCAGGTGTTATATTCAGAAATAACTTTGATTAATCAACTGAGTTTTCAGTGAGTAAATTCATTGTTAAAGTGCTCTCTAGTTGATTTCTGAGAAGCTATCATTGCTTCAATATTTACTGGGTTGCGCTTGTTAATTAGTCTAACTTTCTAAAGTTTAAATATTTATAAACCCAGAATAAATGATCACATTTTAGATACTTCACTGCTATAATGCTTTTAGTGAAAATGAATCTAGCTTTTAATGCTATTGAATTTATTCTTCTACGTCTAGTTGCCTGAATTAAAGTAAAGCCATGTATCATGACTATCTTCTATGCGCTATTTGAAGAGATTCTCCCTTAAGATTTTAAAATACTAAATTTTTTCAAATACTTTTAATATTTATGTGTTGTGGAAATATTTTCTTCCTCTCTGAACTTTAGTTCTGTGGTCTTCTGCTACCTGTATCTGTTCTTCGGTTTAAAAAAAAAAAAATCAAAATAAAATTCTTCCTTAATTTTTTTTATTTAGCTGAAGGGCACCATGACAGTGCTCTTACCCATGTTCTGTATACAATCATTGCTTTCCTGGGTGTTGCAGATCACAAGGTAAATAACTTCTTGTATTTTAGTTGGCCGTTATTTATCCAAGTTTTATTGGTAGGAATTCCACCGGCTCAGAGTGGGGAGTTAAGCCAAGCTGAATCAGAACCAACAAGAAAGTTCAACATACACCATATACCCCAAATAGAGCCAGCACTGTGATTTTTACATCTTTATTGGATAAGAACCACTTCAATTTTAGCTAAACCCAAACTGGGAATCAACTGAAATGCATAGCAAGCCAAACCGTACAATAAACAATGTTTTGTTGCTGCTGCTTTATTCTTTCCCAGTCTTTGCTTTACATTAGGGGCCTGTATTTGAAGGCAAAGATTCTGGTACTTCTGTGTCTCAATAGTGCAAGCCCATTATAGTTGATGGGATGAGTAACTTAGTATCAGAATCTTACTGTGTGTGATTGATGTGGGTGTTTGAGCTTGTCTGTTAAGTTAGTCTTGTTGCTAAAGTGAGTGTATTGGGGACTGAAATGAGGAGGAAAAAAAAAAACACCACACTTTCTCAGCTGCTACAGATATTAATGTGAAAATAAGTTAGATATTTGAGTGAGATCCTGGTTAACTATGCACAGAGCAAGTGTGATCTAAGAGTGACAGGAGGCTGTTTCTGTGTGTGGAGTGTCTTGTGATTCATTTATGGAAAATTTTGAATGAAAATGTTGCAAAGTAGTATCTGAGGGTATGTATAAAGGTAAGCGAATGAAAAGGTTGTGAAAGTATTAGAGAAAGGCTGAAGTGACATGACATTTTTGAGCTTAACATAGGCTTTCAACACTGTTTTTAGTAGAAGATTGGAAACAGAGTTCTGTGTGACTTGTCTTTTTCCCTTTTCTGGCAGTTACCATGTATGCCAGTTAATATTATTGAGAGTTTTAAGCTTCAAGTCATAGTAGACTATTACAAATAGCGCTGAAGCATAAGCATGTCTGCTGTATTGCTGTTTTTAACCAAAGAAAATACTCTTGTCTTTGCTTTTTGTTGATAAGGAAAGTGTGTTGTTATTTTTTTTAAATGTAAGTATTAGGGTTTTTTGGAGTGAGGTATTTAGCTCATAAGAAATGCTAATAGGATGCCTTCGTTTCCAGGGAGGAGTGCTGCTTCTGGTACTGGCATTGTGTTGCAAGGTTGGTTTTCACATGGCTTCCCGAAAGCTCTCTGTAGATGTAGGTGGAGCCAAGCGTCTACAAGCTTTGTCTCATCTTGTTTCCGTCCTTCTGTTGTGCCCATGGGTCATCGTCCTCTCTCTGACAACAGAGGTAATACAGCAAGTACACATTAGCAAACATAACTCATTTTCTGTAATGTTTTGGCTTGTGAAGAACAACTTAAATCTTTCCTTTAGAACATCTTTAAGACTACCAAGAGTTGTGATCTTTGCTTTTCTAATAAGCTCTGCGTTTGAAATTGCTTTTCTGTATTTGGTGCGCATCTTTGCATGGTAACTTTATTTCCTCTTTCTAGCTTCAGACATTATATTTTGGATTCTTTGACTAACGTTGCACGAGGATTAATGATCGTATAAATACAGGACTCTTTTTTCCTGAGGAATATATATTGTAATTTAAAGACATGTTCATTATGCCTTCCTGCTTAGGGAGAGTAAACCAATGCAGATATATTTCTTTTAAGCAAATGAAAGCATTTGAAATAAGCTACTGCAGTGCTCCTTAGTTATATGTATCTTTCTATAGTCTGAATGTTGATTTTTCTCTGATTAAAAATATTAAATTATTTTGAATAGCAGTATTTGTGCTGATGTACTGTTGAAAGTATTTATAACGAAAGTGCACTAGATTTAATGCTGCATATACAACTGATCTAATGGTGAACAATCCTGTTTGAAATATGTTTTTTGTTGCAGAGTAAAGTGGAGTCCTGGTCTTCCCTCATCATACCTTTCATAACAGTCATCTTTTTTGTTGTGATCTTGGATTTCTACGTGGAGTCTATATGCTCTGTCAAGATGGAAGCTTCCAAATGTGCTCGATATGGATCCTTTCTCATTTTCATTAGTGCACTGCTTTTTGGCAATTTTTGGACACATCCAATAACAGACCAGCTTCGAGCTATGAACAAGCCACCATACCATGAAAGCACAGAGCACGTCCTTTCTGGAGGAGTGGTAGTGAGTGCCGTTTTCTTCATTTTATGTACGTATTCTTATTTATCTTTTAATAAATATGTTAAATTTGCCCATATTACTGGGAACCCATTCAGAAAATGACTCTGGTCAAAATTCTTTTGAATGAGTTTTTATGGATTTCTTTGAATAGGTGGGCATGCAACTTCTGTTCTGTTTTGCTGCCTACAAAAAAGGAATAGATCAGATCTGTTTCCCTGTGGAAGTGAGGATCTAATCTAATGGTAAACCTCCAGATGAGGTTGATAATCACTTTGCTGCCTTAATATTACATGTAAGCTTTGAACACTTGCATTATAAAATTGCTGTGAAGCTTAGAAACAGGACAAAAACTTCAATACGTTTCCTTGCAGCTGCCAATATCCTGTCCTCCCCCTCCAGGAAAGGGCAGAAAGGCACCCTTATTGGCTATTCCCCTGAAGGCACTCCTCTGTATAACTTCATGGGTGATGCATTGCAGCAGAGCTCTCAGTCACTACCCCGGTTTATTAAAGAGTCACTGAAACAAATCCTTGAGGAATATGATTCCAGACAGATCTTCTACTTCTTGTGCCTAAATCTGGTAAGTGCATGCTTTCTTCCAAACCTAATTGCATAGCGCAGTAAGAAGAGTGGCTCTAAAATTTCCCATGTTTGTTTGTTTGTTTGTTTGTTTTTTAAGTGACCCTTGATACAGTAGTCTCACTAAATGGAATCTTAAAACAGGAGATTCTTATGCCAATCTTACTGTAAGTGGCAGGGCTGATTGATTTGTTGTCACAAGGGGATGCTGATTTTATGTGTAACTCCTATACCCGTAAGTAAATACTCGTATAATGATTAGAACAGTAGGGTCTCACTCAAGATTGAGGAATCTCAATGTTTACCAGCAGATAACCTGAAACTAGTGAGGCCTTCAAGGATGGGGAAAACAAAACAGTACAGTGGGATTGAGTAGTGTCATTTTTGGAATAGCCTTTTATTTCTAGCTTCTCTTTCTCTTTCTTTCTTTCTCTCTCTCTCTTTCTCTCTCTCTCAAATAGGAAAAAGATCATGCAGCAAGCAAAACTGATAGGCTCTTATAGTAATTTTCCAAGAAAATAGGGGAGAAAAACTTGAAGTGTCTGTTACAACTTACAGAATTGCATTATGGAAACTGAAAGATGGGAAGGAAGAAAGGAAAGTTTAAGTTGATAGGCAGATCAATTAATAAAGAATAATTAAAACATACTGGAAGAAATATGTATTAAAATGTTTCCTTGCATACCCTTCTCAAAACTAATTACTAAGATTTAAACAGTCAACTAATCAGCGAAGACATTTTTTTCCAGAACAAGCTGTTAAATAATAACTGGAAATAACTTTAACTGCATTTTAATAAAATGACTTTCTGAACCCTTCTCGCTGATTCATGATCCATAGCAGAATTGATAGTCATTTGGATATAATGTGTGAATTCGCTGTAAACAGTGCTTGCTTTTTTGAGGGCTCCAAAATCATTATTAGATAAGACAATATTGAACTTTCCTATGCAAATAAATCAGAGGAATACATTATTGACAACAATTAATTTGGTCAGTTGTTGGCATTTCTAAATTACTAATTATTTCAGCTACCCTGCTGATGTGAGCAATTATTTGATATTCTATCTCTCTTGATAATTTGATATTATATCTGTCCGCATAGAGTGCTTAGGCTAGTGTAACAAGTGAAGAGCAACTACCTTCTTTTAAGTATTTATAACTTGACAGGATGTATACTTAAAAATCATGGAAAAGGTGTTTGTATTTTGTAGGAGATAAAAATCTCTCATCTTTAGGGGTTAGGTTTTTTGGTGTTTTTTTTTTTTTTTAGCTCAACTAGATCTTTTTTTCTTCATTTAACGATTTACAGAGGCTTTTAAAAATGAGCCTGTAAGTAATGACTTCCAGGCTTCCAAGTAGCTGTGATAATTACACCAGTTTTGCCCTTCCTAATTGATTGTTTCTGTAGACAGTGTAAGTGACATAGTTGTATAGATAGTGTTGCTTTTATGCTAGTAATAGATATAGTCAGAGTTGTTACATTGTTGCTTTGCACCAGGAGGTGCTGGTTTGTTAAGGTCTCCGTAAGAAAGGCACTCAGATTCTGTAAAGAATCTCATAAAATTCCATTTATTAGAGCTGACACTATCAGAAAAAAGAGGATTAATATGGATAATCTCACATCCCTTCAGGGACTAGGAACCTCAAGTTGCGCAGTACCCATCAGGGCGCAGCATGCCAGGCGGATCTAGTCATCGAAAGGTTATTCCATTTTGGCCTTTTAAGCTCTCATAGGATTTTCTTAATAAAAAACAATGCTATTAATTTCTACTGTCAAACGAAAAGGATGTTCCCATGAGAAATTGTTGCTGGACTTTTAGATAAAGACAAGGACAGGCAGGTGGTGTAATCACAAGTACCAGGTGGGAGCTGCCTACAGGCTCCCTCATTACAAATAGCCAGCTAAGTTTATCCGGCGGCCAAGGGTTGTGTGCAGTACAACACAGGCCTGAAGGCTAAACTGTATGTGCAGCATAGCACAGCACAGGCCTGTGCCTGCTCAAACTAACTGTTACGTGGGTCACTAATTTTTCAGTGCACACTGGTTTCCTGGTTAGGGTCACTACAAGTGTCTAGTAACAGAATGCTTACACTGCACAGTGCTATTTGCAGTCCTAAATGAAAATATGGGTTTTCTGTTGTAGCAGGTTGTTTTTTCAGGTCTAAGGCTTTGGGGGGGGGTTGGTTCAAAAATGTCTCATTGAATGTCTCATTATGTACTTGGAATATATTACCAATTTGGTTTGGAGGAAGAAGAAAATGGTTTAGAAATATTTTGAACAATACCTTTGAAAGCTAGCAAGTGTCCTTTGAAAGAGCTTCATGGCAACTACCAAGACATTCAATTAGAATGTAATCCTCAGAGAAGAACTCAAACCTTTTTTCATTTTAGGCGTTCACTTTTGTGGAGCTTTTCTATGGAGTGTGGACCAATAGCCTTGGTCTTATTTCTGATGGATTTCACATGCTTTTTGATTGTTCTGCTTTAGTGATGGGGCTTTTTGCAGCTCTAATGACAAGATGGAAAGCAACTCGCATATTTTCCTATGGGTATGTATATTAACTTTTTTAAGGACTATCTGAAAAGTTTTCTACTTATTCCTTCTCAAAATGTCCAGCTATAAGGATATTTTCAGGATGCTTTAATGATGCGTCTTTCTTGCATGGTGTTTTTCTTTTTCTTTTTTTTTTTCTTTTAAACTATTTCTCTTTTCTTTTCCATTCATGTTGATAGCAGTGCCCTCTTACCCCAGGCAAAAAAGTGTTCTGAAATCTTAGCACTTCATTAGCATTAAGCTCTACAAATAAAACTTTATCACTATGAATGTCATTTAGCAGTTCTCTCTGTATATATGTGTGTGTGTGTGTGTCGAACAAATACATGTTTTAAATCAATGTTGGGACACGGGGATTTTGCTTCCGCTGAAATTCTCAAATTGTGTGACTAAATTCCATAGACATGTAGTAGTTTGAAGCCCTAAATGTGCAATGTATACTTAATATATTATTTTTAAATGAAGTATTTACGTTGTTGAAGCTTTGTACTATTAGTGCATGGGCAGTTGCAAGCTAGCCACCTTGGGGCAGAAACATGGAACCTAGAAATTAACGCGTGATTTTGTGGCATGGAGGCGGGGGGACAATCTCAAAGTTCATAATGCTGTATTAAATGTATTATAACTTTGAAACTTGTTCAAGGTAGCTATTCTTCATTCTGAAATGTGTGTGTATATATATGTGTTTTGCTTTCAGGTATGGGCGTGTAGAAATTCTCTCTGGATTTATTAATGGACTCTTTCTAATGGTAATTGCTTTCTTTGTCTTCATGGAATCAGTGGCCAGACTGGTAGATCCTCCAGACATAGATACAAATATGTTAACGGTAAGTTTTATCATTCGGTTTGAACGTCGCTTTGTACTTAATGGTTTGTTTATGTTCATTTAAAAAAAAAAAAAGAGAGAGACTTAAGTTGCTTACCTAAGAGACCTAAACTATACTTTGACTTTTTAGCATATAGTTCCAATGTTCCAATTTTAAAATCCAAACCATATTTAGTTTTAAAGCATGAAACATATAGAAGTGAATTTAATTTAATTTTAAAAGTTAAATTGATCTTTTTTTTTCCAAGGAGGTTACAGCTCTAATCTTTTTAGATGGCAACCTTTCTATAGTGAAAGGTGCTAAGGAAATAATCATTCTGTACAAGACTAAATTTAATTTCTGCTGTTAGGTGTGTCAATGTCAATTATTGCAAAAATACGTTTGCACTTACCTGCAATTGAGATACCTGAAAAATCAGCTAGAACTCAGAAAGTTATTCTGTGTGTGTTACTGTGACATAAACAATCATGGAGCGGTCAGTAGCCAACCTTAACTGCACCTGTGACTTGCTACCTTCCACAGCCTCTTAAGGGACTCCACTAAAATTTTTAGGCCTCCATATCCGTTCCTCTGAAATGCGGCCATTCACTTCCTTCACCCGCATTGCTTTACAACGTGGAATTCTGCAAGTCCAACCCTTCATTTTTCACACTTTCAGTTCCACTTGTTTTCTCCCCCTAAATGCATGAATTTGTGCTGTCTTGCTCTCTTCAGTAACAGGAAAAGATTTTTGTGTAGGTAATACTAGACGTATGCATTGCTGGAGTCTAGGCCTGGATTCCTTCCTCCTTCCCCCCCTGCCATCTTTAATGTTTGTTGTTCTCACTATTGGGTTCCCCCCCACCTTTGGCAGGGCTCAGGCTGTGGAGTTTTTTTACTGCTTCTACATGAATTCTGTCTGTATATCCAAGGAAAGGTGTAATAGCCCCAAGTTGGACTCTCTGAACTCCTTTATTAGCTGGAATTATTCTCTTGCACTTTGCTAGTTTTTTTGAGAGAGCGATAGAAAAATATGCAGACAAATAAAAAGAGCGACTCACCCTATAAAGCAGCAGTTGTTATCGTTCCTGTATAATCTTTTCATTTTGTGCAAATGAGTGATAAAATACAAACTTTGCTTTGCTCCTGTGAACCATTTTGTCTCTTTCTGGAAACGAATAAAATCAATCACTGCTTCCTAAAAGTAAAGTGGCTACCTTATCCCAGTGTGTTGATAATAGGTTTTGCATTTTGGTGGTTGATACTGGGTGGGTTTTTTGGGAGGATGGAGAGAAACAGGGTTTTTTGTTTTTTGATTTTGTTTTTTTTGAGAGGAGAAGAAAATTCCTTCAAAACAAGCTAGTACAGGAAATTTTGTTGCTGAGGAATCCACATTAGAATAATCCTTCTACTGATGCTAAAATGCTTCCACAGTTTGTTTTAACTAGCTGTATAGTGTCTCAGATTACCTTGTTCTAGAAAATAAACTTGAGCATCTAGGAACATGTGCTGAAGTTAAGGGCATTTTTTTCTCTCTTGCAGCCAGTTTCTGTTGGAGGGCTCATAGTAAACCTTGTCGGTATCTGTGCCTTTAGCCATGCACACTCCCACGGGGCTTCTCGCGGAGCCTGTCACTCGCATGATCACAGCCATTCTCACCACGGGCATGGCCACAGCCATGGGCATGGCCATTCCCACAGTGACCATGGGCACAGCCATGGACATTCCCACGGGCCTTCTGGAGGAGGCATGAATACCAACATGAGAGGCAAGTACAGATTGCTGAATCATAAATAACATAACCTGGGCTTCAGCAGACTTTGATTTTGAAAATTAAACTGAACTATGCATGCTGCTTAGAATCTTTCTCCAGTGGTGGTCTGACAACCTTTTAATGTGGCATACAAGAAATTCTCAAACTGTTAATTCATTAATGAATTCATTAATGGTTTGAAGAAACATAAGAAACATAATTTGAAAAAACTTATTTGCACTGCTTTCTCAGATTCTCAGATTTGTGTGGTATTTGTGTTAGTGATTCTTAAGGATAAATAAGGGGGGCGGGGGGAATTTTCCACAGTTGTTATAAACCCTATTGAAAACCTTTGGAAGTCCTTTCTTCTAAGTTCCACCTACAAATGCAAGTGCAACGTCTCTGTCTATAAAGATATTACCATACTTTTAGGTGTCATGTGACAGCTGGTTGCAAAAACACTGGGGGAAGGGATGAGAAGAACAACCACCAAGGCAGACCAGCAATCTAGAATATGTTTCTGTTTGTGGTTCAGAAGATTAGATTGGAAAAAGAATATTTCCCATCTAAAATGGGAAACTAACTGAGAAGGGCAATGTATAAAATCTTTTTCCCTACTGGTTACAAAATATTTACCAAGTATCTCACTTACTAAAATCAATAAAGGAATGAGGTGTTTTGTGTAAGCTTCTCAGAGCTTAAGCATTTTAGCTATAGTCTCATATTTCATTGGTTATTTTACATCAGTCGCAGTTTAGTCGACTCTTCTGTTGTCTTGCATTTTTATAAAGTCTGCTCATCCTCTTACTGTTTCAGCATTCTTTTACATCCTGATACTGAAGAAGCACTAATCTCACGAATGGTTAGAGGTTATTTTTCAGTGTCCTTTGAGTGTACGCTGAGAACGTTGCCATTAAAGCAATATAAAGGATTATTCCTAGCAGCAGCTGATAGACAATCTACTTAAATTGGAACAGAGTTGGAGTATAAATCCAAATGATACATTCATATCTGTCAACATTAGCAGGTCAAAGGATTTACAATGATCTTTTTATCCTCTGTTAAGCATCAGTGAGTCCTGATCCCTCTATCACATATGCTAGATGTTGCAAGTCCCATCAACATTTAAGACTGTATTTGCATGTTTGGCTTAACTGGCAAATGCCTGACGAAATCATTGCGTATAGAGTAAAAATGGTAATTTATACTGATTTGTAGTAAAGCATTAGGACAGCAACTGTTTTCTTTTACTTTTGCACCATGTTAGGCATGTAGAGTTAGTACCATAAACCCCACTGTGTTTCCACTAATGAACATAGAAATATATTTTAAACTTCATTTTAAAAAAGAAATGTTCAACTTAATCACCTAGTGTATTTTGTTTCCAGGTGTATTTCTTCATGTGTTGGCAGATACTCTTGGCAGTGTTGGCGTTATCGTATCCACGATATTTATCCAGCAATTTGGATGGCTGATAGCTGATCCCCTCTGCTCTCTTTTTATTGCTACGTTGATTTTTCTCAGTGTTATCCCACTGTTGAAAGATGCCTGTCAAGTACTTTTGCTGAGGATACCTCCAGAACAGGAGAAAGATCTGCACGCTGCTTTAGAAAAGGTCAGAACCACAGTTTTAAGTGTTTTCATATGCAAACATACAAAGTTATAACTGTTTTAATAATCATTTTGTAACTGAATAATCATTAAACTCGAGTAGTTCAGCATGACAGCTACCTTTGCCTCAGAAAACTTTTTGTCTCATGTTGTCTAAAATCTATTTTGCAGAGAACGGAGAGAATTAAGGGTTGTACTGACGTAAGGGTTGTTTTTTTTTTCTTTTTTTTTCCCCGGAACTAATGGTTTTACTCATTGGCACCATATACTGCCTTTTGCTTTGGGGATAGCTCATGATTTCAGACAAATATGGTAACAAAGTGGGAAACCAAATTAATACTAAAAAAAAATAAGTAGCATAGTAATTCCCAAAAGCTAACAGGCCCTTTTTCAACTTTGTGCATACAGTTCAGGCTACAGGATTATATCTTGAGCCTGTAATTGCAGGTTTTCGTATTTGTCCTGTATCTTGCTGGACATGCTGACTCACAGTGGGTGAGGTAGCAAAAGCAAAATGAAAAAGGAATTGTAAAAACAGCTGTAGTCTTTTCTCTTCCTGTCTGCTGTGCCAGGGTGTACACTTTACAGCAGCATTTAGCCCTCGTTCTTGGCTCATCTGAAGTTCCTGCCCTGAATCCCATTGCAGACCTCAGTACAGAGATCTTGTCTGTCAGAAAGCTAGTACGAGCTCTTTGAGGATGCCATCAACGAGAGTTGGCAAGGAAGACTATCCTGTTGTTGCGTGTCATTTGGGAGAGGGGCAGATGAGTTCTTGTCTGCCCAAGGAATAAAAAGTGGAAATTGGTTAGAAGAGACTTGTGTAGTGAAGGGGAAGTGCATTGCAGATTAGGGGTTTACCTTTTGATGAAAGAAGACAGAAAGTAATTCTGCCTTATGAAAAAAATACTTTTTGAGAACAATTGAAGAGTAAGTCCTTAAAAGGTAATAGGAAAAGCATGAAAAAAACCCTACATTACCATAAACCAATAAAATCAGTTTTAAAAACATCTTAAATTAGGGGGAAAGACGTGTGTCTGAATTAAGTCTAGCTATGATAACTAAGTAGATGCTTATTCTGGATATTGAGGTAACAGATGCCTTGGAAATGATTAAATGCCCAAAGCAACTTTCTAGTTGCTTCTGGTCTGTCCATTGATGTTACTGTGATCTGTACACTAAATCAGTTTTTCTCTCATCCTATTTAGCATTGCACTCTGCAGGGCTTTTCATTTAGTTTGTTTTTTTACCTCTTATTTTTGACAGTAGCAAAGCGGCCTCCCAGTACTACATATTTCTACAATTTAGCTGGAAAGATGCTTTGCTATGCAACTTTGTTTCCCTGTGAAATATTTGCTAGCAATACTCATATGCATACAGAAGTTTAGACTAGGTTCTTCAAAGTAATTGTTGGTAATGTAATTTCTTTGCAGATTCAAAAAATAGATGGAGTCATATCCTACAGAGATCCTCATTTTTGGTGTCACTCTGCGAGTGTTGTAGCAGGTACAATACATGTACAAGTGATGTCAGATGTGATGGAACAGAGAACTGTACAGCAGGTGAGGTGCAATGGTTTTAGACCCTAGTCATCTGCTACCTCTCCATTTCTTCACTCTGTAACCCTATTTCTTTCACAGACTGAACTGTGAAGCGGCTGTTTGTGATTATTTTTGTAGCTATTAGTTAATGTCTTAGAGCTGATTTCTAATGCTGTACTTCCTTCCCCTTGCCTGCTCTCCTGAGATTATTTACATAAAAAGTTGTTTACTAAAACTTCTGCCAAAACAAAAAATACATCTGTTCCCTCCCCCCCACGTTCTGCTAAAAGTGGCAGTACATCTGCTCTTAGAAAAGGAGGAGTAGGTTGGTTTGGTACTGCAATGCAGGAACTAAATGGGAAATGGGGAGATCTGGATGCTAGTCATGGGTTTATTAGAGGTTTATTAATATGATCTATCTGTCCTGGGTTTCTTTTTTTCTTTCTTAAAACACAAAAGATGTTCATTTCCTTATACAAGGTGCTGAGAATTAGCAGTTATGCTGAAGTCACAAAGCCATGCCCTCTGAAGCTTATCCTGACTTTCCAGAAAACTGACTCTCTGTGATGATAATTTTTTCATCTATAATATTTCAGCCTCAAAATACTGTAAGTTATTGTTATATATAAAGTGTAGTACTAATGTTAACCATACTAACTGTAATACTCAGGTTACAGCTATTCTTAAAGATGCTGGAGTAAACAACCTAACTGTTCAAGTGGAGAAGGAAGCCTATTTTCAACACATGTCTGGCCTCAGTACAGGATTTCAGGATGTCCTTGCAATGACTCAGCAATTGGAATCCATGAAATACTACAAAGATGGTACTTACATCATGTGATATGAAGCTGTGTTCACCAGGGGGGACGTAACCAGGGAAGCTCTGGGATTCCATATTTGTATTTTTTGTCACAAGAACTTGCACATACCTGTACAGAAACAAGTGTACTATATATATGAATTTTTTAAGCATAATATCTTTATTAAGATTGGATCAAGATGCTTTTATAATGGAAATGAGATGGACTAGAATATCTGCTGTATATGTGGAAATAATGGAAATCTTAAATACTCGGTGTTTATTAAACAGAAATCTTGCGACTTGTGGATGAGCACAGATATATTCCATACTTTTTAAGTATGGAACATCATGATTATTTCCTTTGCTATGGGAAATGGAAATAGTTTAGGTTGCAATAGAAACAATCAACTGAAAAATTTTTTTCATTCAAACGTAGCTTGAAGACTCTTTGAATTAAAAAAAAAAATACATGTTTATTATGAGGAGTAAAAATTAAACAATATGAAGTCAAGGTTTTTTTGCAGACTTTGTTATATAGGAATGGAAATATACAGTTTTTATATTACATCTGCATATAAAACTAGTTTCTAAACTTAATTTTACTGCATCAAAGCAAATAGATGTTACCATTTCAAATTTATCTCAATTTTTAAGGATAAAAATCCACCACTCATGTTAACAGCGAGTAATTGGGAGAAATAACAATCGTAGATGCTTTTCTTTTCTTGTACTATTTTTATTTAAGATTCCTGGACAGACTTAGTCAAAACCACTGTGTAAAATAACTGTTTTGTACTTTTTGTATGAATAACTGCAAATGCAATACTTCATGCTTAAAATTAATTCACCAGTAAGCATCCACTTTCTTTCATCCAGCTAAACTTTACCTCTTCAAGACAGAATATTCTGTCACTTACATGTTTTTTTCCTCCCTACAGAGCAGCTAATTGGATGGAGTTCATATTTACAGATTTTTTGTGATAAGTATTTCATAACTTTCAATTGTGCCAAAATCTATTAACTTCCAATGGAAAATAGGTTAAGGAGAGTAACTGGAGAGCAGCTGAGTGACCTGGCAATGCAATCGTTACTACTTGTGGCTTGCTGATTACTAAAATGCTGTTCGTTAGTTGTTTTTTTTTTTCTTGACTTGTTCAAGATCGGCTATCGGATTAAGCGGCTGAATGACTAGCTAGGCAAAAAGAGAAGAGACTTTCCATTTGAATAGATGACAGGGTTATCTATTCAGGGTTAACCTGATCTAGGTTTAAAAACAAGAAAAGAAAAAAAGCTCAAACTGTACCATAATACAACAGCACGTCTACTGCACTTAATTTTGCCACTGTGTAGTGCCCAAGGGACAACTGACTCCTGGTTTAGAACGCTGAGCTACGCCAGCAGTCTGGGACTTTGGCAAGGTGCTGAAGCAAACTGGAAACTGAGACTTCTTGACTGAAAAGAGAAGAGGAGCATTTGAGAAAGAATTGTGCATGTTGGGGTCGAAATACTTGCAGAGAAGACAAATCTCCGTCTTTAGGGAGAACCTGTTAACTGGGTAAAAACAGCATAGGTCTTTGGAGGTAGTTATCGTTATATCTGTTAATCTGTCTTCCTGTGCATGTCTTTTCTTCTTCCTGTTTGAAAACCCTTAAGTATTTTCCTTTTAATTCAGCTATCAATTCAGTGACTAGCAAGAATGAGTATATCTTTCATCATTCCATATATCATACTAGTCTTACTCTGTCATACTGTTTTCTTGTTCTGTTATTCAGGATAGATGCCAGAGTTGTTTTAATAAATACTTGAGTTGATGCTAGTGGAGCTCAGTATAGTGATGCAGGAGTCACCTTATTTATCAGATCAGATTCAACAGAGATGCATTTTAAAATGTTCTCTAGCAATTCTGACTCTCTTGTGATCAGACTGTTTATACAATCTGTAGAATTTCTTAGAGATCTGTTAAACGCGTTTTCATTCCGTTCTCTTCTCCTAGTGCTGTATTGAAATTTATGCAGTGCAGGACAGATTTCTTTAAGGGGTTGGAAAAAACTGTTGTCAGAAAGCTTCTAAAAGTTGCCTTGCTTTCAAGTGACTTATTCTGAATCTTGATTGTTTTAAGTTCCTTCTTAGCAGCTCCTTTCCCAGGCTGGCACTGCAGAACCAGCAGAGTATCTCAGTAGCGGTATGGGAACAAGAAAGCATGTTACTTCACCTGCTGATCTTACTGCATATTCAGCTTGTACAATATACGGTGTAGGGGGTTGCCCTGGGAACAGGAAATTATTTGTAGTGGAAACTAATGCCTTTTGCAGTAGTTTTCGCACCTTCCCACCTCTAGGAGGCTCAGGTCAGTTGGATAACAGTGCTACAATTATACTTGACTCATAAGAGATCTTTCAGTTTATGAAACCATTTTTTTTCAAACAATAAAGCTTTAGTTAATATTTTTGTTTGCCACTTATGTTTGAGGTGGTTGAAGCAGAACTGACAGTATCTCACCAAACTGAGCATTAGCCCCATCTTGGTCGGTAAATAAAAAGGGTGGTGATTTTTCTTTTTAAATCAAATTATTTTAACATAATTGCTAAGCCTCAATACTTGTCACAGCTTTCTCCAAGCCAATGCAGATTTCCCAGTTCAGCCCCAGGCAATAGGACCCAAAACCAATTAGGGTAGCTGGGAGCATGTTAGATGATCGTGTTTTGTCAGCGAGGATCAGCTATGATGTGCTGCTCTGCACCCTGACAAATGTTGCGCAGCTTTTCAGGTTTTGCCCAACAGGCGCACAGTGTTACCCTGGTTCTCCTGACAGGAGCAGAGCACTACAGTAGGCACAGGCTGCCTTCGGTTAGCGTCCCGGAAGCTCTCATCTGGTGGCCGTAATCCTCCAAAGGCCTTTCTTCAGGCTTCCCCCCGCGATCTATTAGACCTGTGCTGTTTGGGCAGTTGTACAAATCGCAAGTATAGGCCAATTGGAATATTTTAATAAGTACTTCAGTGTGGAAGTTCCTATTCTAGTCCTTTGATCTGTATGCAGACAGTTACAATGAAACAGTTCTGTTTTAAATCAGTTTCATCTTTGAAACTGCAGCTACGAATTGTACATTTGGCAGCACGCAATATGTGTATATACACTGAGAAAAAAAATAAATTTATTTTTCAAGGCTGTTTTAATTTTATGTAGCGCATCGTGACTTCCCTGGATTAAAAACTTAATCGGGATGTAAGTAGGAAAATGCTTTTAAAACGCTTGTGCCTTCGCAGTTCTGCCTTTGACCGCAAGCGCCCGGCC